TTCTCAACATTAATGGCTTTTTTGCTTGCAGACAACGCTGATAGCGATGGAATTTGATGGCGGAGTGGTGGTTGGGACGGACTCGCGCACAAGTTCGGGGTATCTCACTGCTATTGTCAGGCTGATGCTGAAACTTTAGTCTTTAAATATTAAAATTTCCTTCTCAGATATTTTTCATTTCAAGAAATAAGTACTTAATAGTTTCTTCCGAATTAAGCATCCTCGAGTATCTTCGCAGCTAATGTCACCAGTTTTAGGAGCTATATAGCGTCACGTGCAACGGATAAAATTACGCCAGTCACCGATCGACTGGTTGTGTGCCGTTCAGGCTCTGCAGCCGACACTCAAGCAATTGCTGACATCGTCAAATATTATATTGAAGTGTACTCGTAAGTCTGCACTTTTTTGTGCTTTTGCGCTTTTTACGGATGAATTTCCTGCTTGTATATGTTTTTATGCGTTTTTTGCAGCTATGCAATGCAGAAAACGCATATTGACGAGAGATTGGCTGTGTGTGTTTGTGTGTTCGTCTGTACCAATTTTTCATCTCGAGACCTACAAAAACTACAAAGCTGAAACTTTGGGAACTTAATCCACATGCATGTACGGCCCCCTCCCCATCCCAAAATGGGCGGTCTTACCCGCGTGGTACTCACGTGCGGGTCCATGAAAGTTTTTTGCTGGTAAACGACTAACTGGCGAACCAGAAAAGCTAGAAAGCTGAAATTTTAAGGGGATGTTCCCCGTCCACATAAGTCTCAAACAGCTCAAACTCAGCCCTCGGGTATGTGTGCTACCCACGTACGAGCCCGCCAAAATTTTTTTCGGGTAATTTGCTAACTTGAGAATTCGAAAAGCTAGAAGAATGTAATTTTGAGAAAATATTCCCCGCCCACCTAAATCTCATTGAGCTCAAACCCAGACTCCGGATATGCGTGTTACCCAAGTACTGGCCCGTAAAAATTTTTTTTCGGGTAAGTTAATAGCTAGGGGACCTGAGAAGCTGGAAGACTGGAATTTTGAAGGGATGTTTCCTAACAGTCCTCTCGGCCAGTCTGAAATTCTTTTAGCTAGGAGCATCTGTCGGAAAAAACAGTGCCGTTAGCAACAAATCTCTTCGGAGAACCATGCAAAAAGCGCATCTTCGCACGGGCAGCCCATGCGTTGGCCAATTATTCATAATTGTCACAGCTTTTCACCTCATCAGCAGACAAGCTATAAAATCTAGGTTTAAATCTGGGTTTTATTTACTTATTGGTTCAGCGGACATGGGATTCGCTTTCTTTTTGCCCATAAATATTGGATACAAAAGCATACAATTTTGATCCTCTGCGGCGGTGTGGCTAATTTCCAGTTACAGGTCCCGTTTCAACAGAAAACTCCTACTGCACCGGAAGAGTATTTTCGCTTTGGCCTTTTTTGGGCATACTTGTATATTTTATTCAATAAATTTGCTGAGATATTATTATTATTATTTATTCAAAAGTGTCTTATGCTTTTCAGTGCTAAGTTCTGGGACATTTTTATCGACATCGTTTTTACATTTAGTAATTATTTTACGCTTAGTAATGGTTTTTGTAGGATAATTGAAGAAGAGGATGTGGGTGTTGAACGCTCGGCTCAGATCTTCCGCAATTTCTTGTATAAATATCGTGATTCGCTGTCAGCTTCAGTTCTGGTTGCTGGATACGATGAATTGGAGGGGGGACAGGTAGCAACCATTCTAGCGAATATTGTTTCATAACGAGGTATTCTTTTGGATGTTCATGCAGTGCATAAGTTACTCTTAATCCTATCTTTTAGCTTTATGCGATTCCACTCGGTGGTTTTGTAACCCGTCAACGATGTACAGCGAGCGGGAGCGGCAGCACATTTGTGCAGGGCTTCCTCGACAGTCAGTGGAAGGTGATTTTTGCCTTTACAGCTTGCAGAATGTGTTAGGATCTTTTGTCTGATTGGATTTCGTGTCCCAATGACACCAGAAAGTTAAGGGGCTACAGGAATGTTTTTGCGGTCCTCTTTGTAAGTGGATATATAAATTTATTTTAATCCATCTGTTCAGCTTCATTATTTTTGTATTTAACTATTTGACATCATTTCTTAGTTGTAATAAAAACTAACTGTGTTAAACTGTAGCCTGGAATGAGTGTCGAGAAATGCAAAGAAGTGGTGCTGAATGCGGTAGCACTAGCGACAGTTCGTGACGGGTCGTCCGGAGGCGTAATCCGGCTTGCTGTCATCGATAAAAACGGCACTCATAGAACGGTTTGTTTTTCACTTTTTGCATAACGAAAAAGATTTTACTGTGATGTTCAGTCTCTCACATACCTTCCACTTCTAGTTATGGTATTAATTTAATATGGATTTCCTCACTAGCTGTAAGCGATTCCGACTAGCATGCTCAAAGACAGTCTTGCAGTTGCTCCCCTTTTAATTATCTCATATGGACCTATATTGCTGTTACCTTCCGCTGCAGCATTTAACCAATACTTGGCATAAATCAAATTTCGAATTTTTATTAAAAATCCTTATTTATATAGCTTGAATGGAATTAAAAACGCAAATACTGGAGTTGCATTAGAACGGGCACTAGATGTGACGGAGAGGGCGTTGGAACAAAAAGTTTTTGGCGGGTAATTCCACGATCACAAAAAACCCTCCACACTGTTCGATATGTAAGCGGCGTACAAGTGTCATTGCGACCAAGCAAGAAAGTAAAAAAAAAATCCTCTGGACAGGGCATGTTGCTCGCCTTGTCGACAACTGGTTTGCACCGTTTACTAGCAAATGGTATACGGGTGAAGATAAAAAATCGATTAGCGTACATAAATCAGGTAGATACTAACTGGAAATACACAGTCCAGGGCCGAAAGACCAGGTATATGTAGACGGGGCGTGCATAGGTATTCCAGTAACATCATTAGCATAAAATTCCTTTACCGAGGTTGTCCGAGCGGCCCTGTTGTTTTTCTTGTACTCTCTTGTTTCATCTCTTAATGCCTTGTTATATATGTGCCTATTACTTGCAGCTTGTTCGGCCGGATGGCGCTTTGTTCCCGAAATTTGCTGACATTCCAGCTCATCTGACGTATCCAAAACATGTGCTGCAATGAGCACATTGAACTTCACCTTTTTTTCTTTCTTTTTGTTATACAATTTTTTAATTCATTTTATAAACAAATTATTTCTTTTGCAAAATTGTTTGAGCGTTTCGCACTTCTGTTAGCCTGCGCTTTCCCTTCACTTACGGCGTTCCTTTTTTGAAGCTTTTATCGCGGCATTTTGCAGAAATTGACAGCGTACGATAATCGCGTACGCCCAAACTTTGCTAATTTCCACGGTCTTGATATTTTTATTTGCATTCTTCAACGGCCAGTAATACATTGATGAAAATACCAAATCTGCATAAAATTAACTTTGCTAATTTCTGATTTTACTGCTTCTACAGAATAAAGCGAGTTACGTAGAAAATTACTTGCAAATCCTAGGTTGCGACCTACCTGGCTTGCTGATGTTTTTGCGCTAAACTTGAAGCAGTGAGGCTGTTAACTGTAGGAGTGGTTTTTG